TTATTTATTTTGTTTAATATTCAGACAACGAAATTAAAATAAATTTTACTAAATAAAAATTTATAAATTAAAATCATTTATTTACGATTAAAATCATTTACTGAAAAGTTATAATTTATTTCAATTTTTTTCATTCATAATGTATATAAGAGTAAATCATATTAGAAGTATCTGATAAATTATATTTTATTTTTATTTCATTATATTAATTTAATATTTTTATTTACTTTAATGTATTATTTCAGAATAAGTTATTTTATTAATTATTTTTTTTACTTTATTATTTTTTAATTTATTATCTTATATAATTATTTTATTTTAATTTTATTTTTTTCTTTAATTTATTATTATTATTTATTTAAAATTTATATAATTATTTATTTAAATAATTAAAAATATATATTTATTTAATTTTAATCACGTTACTATATCAAATTTTATCTTGCTTTATTTTAATTTAATTTTATTCATCATTTTTATGTTAATCTAATTTATTGCAAGTTATTTTTATTATCAATTACATAATTTATATAAATTTAGCCTATTATAATTTTGTTTTATTTTATTTACTTTATTTTTATTTTATTTAATTAATTTCCGTATCATATATAAATATATTTATGTTCAGTAATTTACACAACTATCCATGTAGCCTAGTGGTCGTGAGGGCTTCTTTTCCCCTTGATATTTGTAGTTCGAGCCTCACTTCCAACACTTAACATAATTTTAGATTTTGCCATAAATTTTAGGAGGGTATAATGGTAAATCAATAATTCTGTAAAATAAAAATATTGAACAATTCTCGCAACTGGAGAAGGTGCCTTACACGCGCCGTTAAGTTGGACGGAATGGGGGAACCGTGCACCAATTACTTAAATATAAGCGGGTCTGGTGCATTTTTTAAAACAAAGGGTAAAAACACGCACATTTCGTTAAACACATAGGGGCACCAAGTATTTTACCCGAAGATAAACTATGCTTTCTTATTATTTGATTTCCTTACGCTTTCTTATCATTTGATTTCTTCATTCATAAGGGCTTGATTGTTTACAAAATAATTTACTCACATTTATTTCATACTCAAAATATAACTAAACTTTAACTCAACCCCACTTTTTTTTTAATATTGTTCATATAATTAAATAATACAAATCAATCATTATTACACATCACATCAACTTTAATTCACTATTCATCCACTCACATAATTTTAACTACTTGTCATTTTCAATCATTTATCTCTACTTTTACATCAAATCAATTTTAATCATTTTATTTTAAATATTATTTTAATACATTCTTAAAATTCCACTGACAACTAACCATACCACATTTTTCAAAATTAACTATGGTTAACCAAAATAACTCATTTTGAACAAATTATTTGATAAACAATCAAGCCCTAAGGTACTAGATTACTGATTACCTGTAGAAAAGATTGAAAAATCATTATAAACAGATCTTTTATTTTTGTCTCACTTGCTGACACTAGATATATAGTAAAAAAGATCATAAGAGCCTCCATATTTATTTATTTATTTATTTCTCTATAAATCTCCTAACGTCTTTCATTTTTGTCTCACTTGCCGACATTAGATTACGTAGTAGAAAAGATTGAAAAAACATAAGAGTCTTCATATTTATATATTTATTTCTCTATAAATGTTGACAAAGTAGGAGAAAAGAATACGATAGTAAAATCGGTCTTACCAACCAAGTAACTAAGGCTAAAAAGTAAATACATAAGATATAATAATGTACACTAACACCCTCTCTTAAGTTGGAGCATGCGAATTCTGAAAGCCCAACTTGCCAAGAAAGAAATCGAATTCACGCTTCCCAAGGGCCTTAGTAAAGATATCTGCTAGCTGAGCGCTAGTAAGAACATGACAGGCAGAGATGAGACCCTGGTGAAGTGCATCTCGAACAAAGTGACAGTCGACCTCAATATGTTTGGTGCGCTCATGGAAGACAAGATTCGCGGCAATATGCATGGCAAACTGGCTATCACAGAAAAGCTGCATAGGCTGAAAATGAGACACACCAAGGCTAGGCAATAAACCTCGCAACCCTTCAGCTCACAAAGAGTGGTTGCCATAGCACGGTATTCGGCTTCAACAGAGGAGCGTGCAACCGTATGTTGTTTCTTAATACGCCAAGAAATAGGAGACTGGCCCAACTGGATAAACCACCACGTAAGAGAGCGACGAGTGACAGAACAGGTCGCCCAATCTGAGTCACACCAACCATAGAACTGAAGATCACAATCAGTACGTAGAACGGTACTCTGACCAGGGGAACCCTTCAAATAGTGAACCACATGAAGGGCAGCATCCCAATGAGTCTGGTGTGGCTGATGCATAAACTGAGCTAGCATATGAATAGAGTATGACAACTCCGGCCTAGTAACTGCCAAATAAATCAGACGACCTACTAAACAGTGATACTTCTCAGGATCTTCCAACAATTCATCATCAGCAAGAGGCAATTGATGATTCTGCTCCAAAGGAATAGCAGCAGGCTTACCTCCTAACAAGCCAACTTCTGAAACAATATCAAGGGCATATTCCGCTGACAAATAAAAATACCAGAAGAATTCCGGGCAACCTCAATGCCCAAAAAATACTTCAGAAAGCCCAAATCCTTCATGTGAAAACATCGACTCAAATAGCTCTTAAAAGGGGAAATAGACGTGGAATCACTCCCAGAGATAATCAAACCATCCACACACACCAAAACATTCAAATAAATAGAACCACGATGAAGAGTAAGCAAAGAATAATTATGATAGGATTGAGAAAAACTGTATTGTGTCAGGGCAGTAGCAAGTTTGGCGAACCAACACCGAGGAGCTTGCTTCAACCCTTATAGAGAACGACACAGACGACACACCTGATCAGCCGCACCAGTCCAGAAGCCTGGGGGAAGCTTCATGTACACTTCTTCATCTAAGTCACCGTGAAGAAAAGCATTGTGAACATCCATCTGATGCACCTCTTAATGTTTAGCAGCTGCGACAGCAAAAAACAACCGAACTGTAACCATCTTAGCCACAGGAGCAAAAGTCTCATGATAATCAATGCTAGACACCTGATTGTTACCCAAAATAACAAGACGTACTTTAAAGCACTAAACCGAACCATCAGACTTGTGTTTGATTTTATACACTCAGTTACAACCTATCGCACGTTTCCCAGGTGGAAGAGAAACAACTGTCCATGTGTCATTATTCTCTAGTGCCCGAATCTCTTCCTGCATGGCCACCCTCCACCGAGGATCAGCAGCAGCCTCAGCAAATGTGCGAGGTTCCACCGCGGAAGCAATAGCTACTAAAAATGACTTGTGGCCCGGTGAGAAAGAATCACATGAGACATAAATAGGATAAGGCGTACCTGAGGAAGACAATGACACAAAGGAGGCAGTGGAGGGTTTCGAGGGACATACAGTTTCAATGACAAGGTCCTTAAGCCGAGTAGAGGGTCGTTTGGGTCAATGACCACGGCCTAATGCCTCCACGGGAGAAGAACCCCCATGTCGTCGGAACCACTGAAAACCACTGGATCAGAAGACCCTACCTCAGGAATCGAAACAGCCGGTGGCAAAGACGGCGTTGAAGTCAAAACTGCAGTATCATCATCATGTACTGGAAAAGAAACAGCTGGAACCGAGAGTGTAGGGGAAACAACGGGAATATCACCCAATGGGAACTCAGTCTCAACAAACTTCACATCACGAGAAACTAGAAAAATCTCACGTTCCAGGTCATAGACATGCCAACCCTTCTTCCCAAAGGGATAGCCCACAAAAATACACTTGCGACTATGACTAGAAAACTTATCCCCCTGACGATCCTGGTTATGTACATAGCAAAGAAAACCAAAGACACGCAAAAGCGAATAATCAAGAAGTTTTCCATACAAAACCTTCTAAGGAGTTATACCCTAGAGAACAACAGTCGGAGTACGATTAAACAAATACCCGACAGCTAAAATACAATGACCCAAAAAAGGCAAAGGCAGATCGGCTTGAAACTACAAAGCACGGGTAACATTAAGAATATGTTGGTGTTTCCGTTTCACATGGCCATTTTGCTGAGGAGTACCCACATAAGATGTCTCATGAATAATGCCTTGACGAGCGAAATAACGAGTCATGCACATAAATTCAGTTCCATTATCGCTTCTAACCGTGCGTACTAACTTGACAAATTAACGTTGCACCATAGCAAAAAACATCAACAACTTTGATGAAACCTCAAACTTATAATCAAATAACTAAATCCATGTCCCTCGAGAACAATCATCAACAACAGTTAAAAAAGTACGCGCCCCACTAAAGGAAGGAACATGATAAGGACCCCAAGCATCGCAATGAATTAACTGAAAAATCTCATTACTAGCGGAATGACTAACAGAAAAACTATCTCGAGACTGTTTAGCACAGAAACACACATCGCATGCTTTATTCAACGAACTAGAACTAAAATCAACTGCCGTAAGCTGAGATAATACGGTAGACGAAGGATGACCCAAACGCTGAGGCCACAAATCAGAAGAAACCTTCTTCCTTGAGAAGCCGCTACAGAAACTGTCCCTCGAAAGAAGTAAAGGCCCCCCAACTGCTCACCCGTGCCAATCATCATCCTCGAAGTACGAGCCTGAATAGGACAAAGTTTATTATCAAAATGAGCAATACAATCCGACTGATCCAACAACTGATAAAGTGATATAAGACTGCATCGAAGACTGAAAACAAACAATATGTCACGAAGATCAGTATGAGAACCCAAAATCACAATGTCAGCCTGTCAAGCCATAGTCAAAGTCCCATTTGGAAATTGAACCGGATGAGAAGGAATATCATGGACATCAGTCAAAAAATTTCAAGGAACATGTCATATGATGCATAGCACAACAATCATACATCCAATCATATATGCTACGTTTACCAGACACCGAAGATTCTTGTTTACCCGAATTGACTAAACTCACAATATGGGATCATTGCTCATTAGAAAGACCAGTGATAGCATCCCGGCCGAACTCAGAAAGTTGGGAACCAAAACCAAAATCAGGAGCTAAACTTGTCGCGGCAGCATTGACGTGAGTGGTACCACCGCGACCCCGACCGCCTCCACCACGACGCCCAGGACCAGCCCATTCTCGACCTCCACAACCAGAGTTGGAGGGAGAATACCAGTCTAGGTAGCCAATGATATCGAAACAGTTAGCAACCACATGACCACTCTTGCCACAGTGGGAACAAACCGGCCTCCCGTTGGATGAATGTTGTCCAGTACTGGTGGTAGCAGCCCGGCTCGAGTCGCCCCAAGCAGCCACATAGATGCCGATTGCAGCAGCCCTGGATGCGACCCCTACTGCACCGAGAAATACCCCGGACGATGATGCCTCCATGTAGCAAAATATAAGCCAACATGAGCAGTTTGAACAACAAAACCGGCGTTTACAGTAGGCTGAACATCACCACCAATAGCCATCGTCCGCATTCGCTCCTCTTGCACCATCGTAGAAAGAACACGATTCAGAGACGACAAGGGTTCCTGGCTAGAATATGAGAACAAGGAACACCATAAAAGGGCATGATCGAGGCCCTTCAAAAATTGATGAACGCGTTCCTCTTGTTGACGTCGGTCCCATTCAACCTTCAAATTACACCGACAATGGCCACAACGACACATGGGAGGCTTTTCAAACTCAGACAATTCCTCTCATATTTTGCTAATTTTGCCATAGTAGATCTCGATGGATAACCGTGTTTGCCTACAATTGGCCAAATCGGACTTGAGTTGTTGAATACGGAGGCCGTTCGTGGTAGTAAACCGCTCCTTCAAAGACAGCCACAGGTTCTGGCTCCGTGATAGTGGATCGAACTCGAGGCTCAACCGAGTTCATGATCCAAGAACGAAGAAGGCAATTGTTGCCATCCCAATCTTCAAACAACTTCGAATCTTCATCCGAACGAGTTATGGATCCATTTAAGAAACCAAATTTCTTATGAGCGCGAAGAGAAGTCCGTACGCTTCACGATCATTTATCATAATTATGAGCACCATTTAACTGAACCGGAGTGATCGACATGCTCGGATTATCGCTAACACTAATATCATATGGAGATATGGTCTTACGAAGCACAATGCCTGATCCGGCGCCACTTCTGCTCTCGTCTTCACCAGCCATAAGGATTTTAATTATCGGAAGCAAAAGATAAAATTTGATGTTTCTGTGTGGCTATTTGTTCGCGTGGATTTTTTT